TGGAAGCCCTTGTCAAGAAATTCCAATGGACTCTCATATGAACATTTGAAAATTGCCCTGTTCTTTTTTTCTAGTTCCCTGTCTAGAACTTATAATGCTAATTACTCTTGCCTTTACTTCTCCTTCACACACACACAAAAAAAGTTGTGCAATTTGGGAGTCTTTTAGATAGACCCACTGAAGGGGTACTCCAGTTGTCTCACCCTGCATAGAAGAAGCTAGAGCTGTCTGCGTCCAGAGTCCTGATTCCCTATTCTTAAGCTGGGTAACCTCTTCAGAGGATGGTGTGATAAGAATAGGAGATAGGAATTGGCTAGGCAGTTAGGGTAAAAAGACCCCAAAGAAAAGTAGCCAGTTTCTTGACTAAAACTCACAATGTCCTTGGGCCTCTTAGCAATGTACTCTGTTCCAAAGGCCAAAAATGTTAAAGTATTTGGGAACTTTTATCTAATCCTTAAAAGATTTTAGGGTTTCCTCTTCAGAGGGGGGAATGGTAGAGTAGTCAAAAGCCCCATACAAAAAGAAAAGAAGAAAGAGTACATGAAGTTATCAGAAAAAAGCGATGGAGAGATATGGGAGGAGTTGGAGGGGAGGGAGTGGCCATGGATTTGATCAAAACACCTTACATGCATGTATGAAATTCTCAATAAATTATTTTGAAAAAGAATACTCCATTTGTAAATGTCCCATACTTTCATTTTCTTTTCATCAGTTGGTAGACATCTAGATTATTTCTAATTCCTGGCTATTGTAAATAGAGCAGCAGTGACCATGGTTGAATAGATATCTCTGTAGTAGAATACTGTGTCTTTTGGGTAATGTACGTTTTAGCTTTTTGAGGAATCTCCACAATAATTTCCATAGTTTGCATTCCGACCAACAGTAAATAAGTGTTACTCTTTCCCACACCCTTGTCAGTATTGATCATCATTTGTGTTTTGTATCTTAGCCAATTTGACTGGTAAGATGGAAAGTCAAACTTGTTTTAATTTGAATTTCCCTGGTAGTTAAAGATGTTGAACAATTTCTAAATATTTCTCAGCCATTAGTGTTTTAACTTTGGGAAATCCCAGTTCATTTCTTTGCCCCAATTTTCAATTGGTTGTTTGTGTTTTTGATGTGTAGTTTTTTAGTTCTTTATGTGTTCTAGATATTAACCCTGTGTCAGACATACAGCTGGTAAAGATCTTTTCACATTTTTGGAGGTTACCTCTTCACTCAAAGGATGTTGTCTTTTGCCGTACAGAAGCCTTTCTGTTTCATGAGATCCAATTTTTCAATTGTAGACTTAATGCCTATGCTGTAGGAGTCTTGTTCAAAAAGTCCTTTCGTGTGCCTATTCTGGTGTATTCCCTACTTTCTGTTCTATAAGCTTCAGAATATCAGGTCTTATGTTGAAGTCCTTGATCGATATGAAGTTAGGTTTGTGCATGGTGACAGGTAGGGAGTCTAGTTTCATTCTTCTATATGTAGCAATCCAGGTTGACCAGCATCATTTTTTTTTTGATGTTTTTATTATTATAGCTCTGTGTTATTATTTGAGATTAGGGATGGTGATGTCTCTAGCAGTTCTTCTATTGTTGAGGATTGTTATGGCTACCCTGGGGTTTATTGTGCTTCCCAATGAAATTTGAGATTATTTTTTCAATTTCTGTGAAGAATTTTGTTGGAATTTTATAGGAATTGCATTGAATCAGTAGATTGCTTTGAGGATGGACTGAACAAGTGTTTGCCCCATTACACCTTTTATTCCTTTGTGTTAGATGTCATCAGAAAAATGGCCACCAAAAAAAAAAAGTCTAAGCCTGAGGGTAGGGATGGACTGTTTCATAGGTATTTCTTCTAAATTCATATTTTCTCATGAAGGGAATAGAGAGGTTTACAAAGCTTTAAAAGTAAACGTAGGAAGCTGGAGAGATGGCTCAGCAGTTCAGAGCAGTTGCTGTTTATCTGGAGAACCAGAGTTGAGTTTCCAGCAGCCATGTCTGGAGCTCACAACTGGTTGTGACTCCAGTTCGACAAAATCTGACATCCTCTTCTGGCATCTGAGAGAACTAAATACACATGGCATACAATCAGAGCCATACATATACACATAAAGAAAAATAATGTACTGTTTAAAGTTAGGAGGCTCAGTAATCCCCTGAAACAAGGTTCACAGTGCTCCTCACCAACATTATGTATACATATAAAGATTTACATATAAACACTAACAAATACTGAAGATGCTGGTTCTCTGATCTTGAAGTTCCCCAGTTCAGAACCTTTCTAGATGGAGCTTTTGTGAGCCATATATGGTAAGGGGGTTTTCAGTGTTACAGCTGTCTTTTTGTCAGCCATGGTCTTGTAAGTAACCCCTCACCCATTCTTCTGTAAGTAACTGCAATCAATTTACTAAACTAGTCTTTGCTAGAATAGTTTCTTTTGCGTATCATCTCATGGTCCCATCTGCCAATGAAAAGGTCTGAGGTTCAAATTCATACAACTTTTGAGTTCTTTCCCCAGGTCAGATGCATCACAGGCCCCAAGTATGTATAGAAAAAGGCAGGTGTAGGTGTGACAGATCTCCCAGTTATGTGACAGGAACTTGTCTCAGCACTGTTAAGTCATGGCATCCCATTTAGAACAATGCATTTCTGCATCATGAAAGTGAAACCCAGTTCCATTTTGAAGGCACTTACTGGGTTTCTGCATGGTAAGCAAGACTGATCTGGAGCTGATGTTCACAAAGGCACTAGATTTGCATTGGTATTATGGAGAAATCTTCTGGGCAAGTGAAGGCCTGGCCAACTGTGATTTTTCTCAGATCAGTGTCTGTATCTGTCATACCACTGCAGTTCATGTCATTTTGTTAAGGCTGAAATTGGAAATTTTACCTTGTTTTAAGATGCTCATCTTATGGGGCTGGAGAGATGGCTCAGTGGTTAAGAGCAGTGACTGCTCTTGCAGAGGACCCGGGTTTGATTCACAGCACCCACGTGACAGCTGTGAACTGTCCTTAACTCCAGTTCCAGGGAAATCCAAAGCCCTCTTCTGACCTATGCAGCATTGCATGACATGGGTGCACTCACATACATGCAAACAATATACTCATACACATAAAATAAAAATAGTAAGGTATTCGGGGGACAGAGACAGGCAGATCTCTAAGTTCAAGGCCAGCCTGGTCTACATAGTGAGTTCCAGGACAGCTGGGGCTACAGGGAGACCCTGCCTCAAAAAGACAATAATAATAATAATAATAATAATAATAATAATAATAATAATAATAATGTATTTGAAAAAGAAAGATGCTTATCTTATAGAACACCATTGCTCATTAGGAGTTAGTTTGAAGGTGTGTGTGTGCTATGTCACAAATCACTAAGAGTCAGGTTGCAAATGTTGATGGCCTGAGTTTTTTAAGTTTTAAAATATTATTATTGTGTGTATAATGTGTATGTGTATCAGATGTGCATGTCACAATTGTCAGGTGAACAACTTTTTTTCTCTGTTCTCTTTTTGACTTTTTGTGCATTCTAGGGATTAATTTCAGGTCATTAAGCTTGTGTGGCAAGGATTTTACATACTGAACCAGCTCCCTTCACCCTATGACCTGATTTTTAAAGTATGACAATTAATTTTGGCCCTTTGTCTTTACTTATTTTTTGGAAGTCGTTGAAATGTGTTAGGGAAAACATCATCACTATGTTGTTCTTTTGACTTTGACAGTTACCAGACACTTGCTGATCCTACTCAGTTTTTTATTCAGTACAAACTTGTCTGGTTTGGTGATTCATGAATTTTTCTCTTAATAGTGTAAAGCGAAATCAGGAATTTTGATGACCTGCTTCCTGTCCCTCCCCATTCCAGTCCTTTTTCCCTCCCTCTTTTCTTCCTGAGATGAGTGTTTTGCTGTGTTGCATAGGCTGACCTGGAGTCCTGCGCTCACAAGAACCTTCTGTCTCATTCTCTAATGCAGCTATGACTATACACACATGTCAACATGATTGACTACATAGAATTCTTTCTGAAGCACATGTTGCCTTTATAGTTACTTTACTCGCATTGGACTGTAGCTAAAATTTTTTTAAAGTATTATTTTAGGATCTTTAACTGTGTATCGTATTTGTTATTTGATTAAAATTGTGCTTGAGGGACTGGAGAGATGGCTCAGTGGTAAAGAACAATGGCTGCTCTTTTAGAGGACCTGAGTTCTATTCCCAGCACCCACATGGCAGCTAAGAATCATTGGTAACTGGTGTTCCAGGAATATAAAGCCCTCTTCTGACCTCTGAGTGCATTGCACACAGACACACTTACATACATGCAAACAATACAGTCATACACAGAAAAGAAAAATCATAATTAAATTTTTTTATAATTGTGCTTGAGTAAACTACTTATAGCAGCATATACATTATTTCTCCTGTCAGCACATAAAATGGGTTCATTTCCCCACTTAACAAGGTGTGACAGCATGTCTGAATTCATGCCCACTAGGGAAGCTCATTACACTCAATGGCTGTTATTATTTGAGGTCACAGAGGCTGATCCTCTAGTTATCCTTGTGAGTTTTGAATAGATTAGTAGACTTTCAGAATGAGAACCATTCATAATGTACCATAGAGTTTTTGTAAGTCATTTATGCTATGTGTTTTATCATTTATGTTCATGCAAATTGTACCAAATGTTAAATTTCCTCACATCAGCATTACTTAACATTGTGTGCAGGAATTTCTAAGGATAAGAAGACACTCGCAGGCTTATTGCCCTCTGTTCTTTACATCAGGTGGTCAGACTTTCTTAAGACAGGAAGGAGACATGCGCTGTAGAACGAATTGGGGCAGAGCAGCAGCACATCTGGGCCCTGTGTGCAGCAGTGAGTGGAGTGTCCCTCCAGTGTTCTTTCCTTTCAGAACTACTCAGAGCTTGCATTAGAACCTATGTGTCATGGAACAAAATGTGTGGATACCAGAGAATTATATGAACATATCATCAACTGAGTTTGGAATGTTTAGGATTCTGTGACATTTGAGGATGTTGCTGTTAACTTCACCCAGGAAGAATGGACTTTGCTGGATCCTTCTCAGAAGAATCTCTACAGAGATGTGATGCTGGAAATCTGCAAGAACTTCATTTTTATAGGTAAGAATATCATCTTCCCTTCCTTTAGTATACTAAGGAACAAGCATTTCTTGGAAGTGGTGCTCTTCTGTGCTTTGGAATATTGAAAGGGAAGAATGTGGTATGTAATCAGGCAAGGTTCATAGACACTAAAGCTCCAAAGCAAGTTTTCAGTAATTTCTAATTCATCAAAATTTTCTTCAACTACATTTTAGGAAACAGTTGTGAAGATAAGAATATTAAAGACCATTATAAAAGTTCTGGAAAAAGTCTAAGGTAATTTGAAAACAGTAGAAGGAATGTTTCTTTGAAGTAATTTTTAAGAAATTTATATTTATTTTATTATGTACATGTATGTGGGTGAGAGTGTGTGTATGTGTGTGTGTTTGCAAACCTGTGTGCATGTGGACCAGGAGGTATGAAGATGTTGCTGGATTCAATGGAGTGGGAATTACAAAAGGTTGTGAACTACCTGTCTTGGTTGCTGGCAACCAAACTCTGGTCCTCTGGAAGAGCAGTAACTGTGCTTAAGAGCTAAGCCCTGTCTCAAGCCTCCCATTAAAGGTATTTTATGTGAGCATTTATGAATACATAAACAGTCAGCACACTTTTTTTTAATTATTAGGAAACATAACATGTTCCTCAATTTAAAAATCCTATTCAGTGTTTGCATGGCATTTCACATGCAGGGAGTACTAGGAACTCACTTTAACAAGTGTCACTCTTCGGGAGACAAATCTCTGTGAATTCAAGTCCAGCCTGGTCTATATAGTGAGTTCCAGGCAAGATGGGGCTACAGGGAAACCCTGTCTCAAAAAGATCAAAATAAAAAAATAAAAAACAAGTGTCACTCTTGCTAGGCATGGTAGTACACACCTTTAATCCCTGCACTCTGGAGGCAGAGCCAGGCAGATCTCTGAGAGTTCAAGGCAGCCTGGTCTTCATAATGAGTTCCACGTGGTGCTTTCTCTAAATAAATAAATAAATAAATAAATAAATAATAGTCCCTCTTTTTATCAGCCCTGTGGGAGCCATGTTATAGGATTATCAATCTATTTAGTTTCCAACCATTCAGATACAGGAGAAGACATACACTCTACCTAAGTTTGGGAACAGTATGTGACTTAAACTTTGTAATGAATACTAGTAAGTTGACTTTTACTAATATACTTGTCATTTTTACAGAAGTTCCACATTCGAGACATTCTGTGAGCATAAAGAAGATCATCAGGATGGAGAAACTTTCAGTTGGATAGCAGATGCCAATATGATCATGAAAATTTCTAGTGACCTAACACCATGTGAAAACATTTTGTGTGGGCAGGTTTCCATGTGTCATTCACTCTTCAATAACCATCGTACCTCTCACTCTCAGTGCAAACCAAATGAGCATGAGGAGTATGGAAACGAGCCACAGTACTCTAATGCTCTCACAAGCTGTCAAAGATATATGAGAACTCACACTGTGAATGGACCATTTGAAAATAAGTCATTTTTAAATTATTTTGATTTCCAACATTCACTGGTAATAGATCAAGAAACACACAGTGCAGAAAGCCTCCATCAATACAAAGAATATAGAAAAGCCTCTGCTGATGGCAGTTCACTTCATACAGCTGGAGCAATTCAAACTGTAAGAACACATTATCAATGTAATATATGTGGGAAACATCTGAGGTCTTCCATTTCTCTTCGAAGACATGAAAAACTTCATAGTGTTGAAAAACGCTGCGAATGTAAACAATGTGGTAAAGCCTTTAGATATAATAGTCATCTTCAAAGACATATAAGAACACATACTGGAGAGAAACCCTATGATTGTAAACATTGTGGTAAAGCCTTTAGACAATACAGTTTCCTTCAACTACATGAAAAATATCATACTGGAGAAAAACTATATGAATGTAAAGAATGTGGTAAAGCCTTTTCACAATACAGATACATTCAAATACATGAAAAGATTCATACTGGAGAGAAACCCTACACATGTAAACAATGTGGTAAGACCTTTACATTTTTTAGATCCTTACAGTTACATGAAAAAAGACATACTGGAGTAAAACCCTATGAATGTAAACAATGTGGTAAAACCTTTATATGTAATAGTGATCTTCAAAGACATGAGAAAACACATACTGGAGAGAAACCCTATGTATGTAAACAATGTGGTAAGGCCTTTACATTTTCTAGATCCTTACAGTTACATGAAAGAAGACATGCTGGAGAAAAACCATATGAATGTAAACAATGTTGTAAAACCTTTATATGTAATAGTGATCTTCAAAGACATAAGAAAACACATACTTCAGAGAAACCCTATGCATGTACACAATGTGGTAAAGCCTTTACACAATACAGTGTCCTTCAAGTACATGAAACATTTCATACTGGAGAAAAATCATATGAATGTAAACAATGTGATAAAGCCTTTAGGTATCACAGTCGTCTTCAACGGCATGAAAAAACACATAGTGGAGAAAAACCTTATGCATGTAAACAATGTGGTAAAGCCTTTAGGTATCACAGTCGTCTTCAACGGCATGAAAAAACGCATACTGGAGAAAAACCCTATGCATGTAAACAATGTGGTAAAGCCTTTGCACAATGCAGGTACCTTCAAGCACATGAAAAAATTCATACTGGAGAAAAACCGTATGAATGTAAACAATGTGATAAAGCCTTTAGTCGTAATTGTAATCTTCAAAGACATGAAAAAACACACTGGAGAGGAACCCTATGCATGTAAACAACGTGAAAAAGCCTTTAGGCAGTCCAGTCACCTTCATGTACATGAAAAAGTTCAGACTGGAGAACAATCATATGAATAAACAATGTTTAGGTAAAGCCTTTAGTTGTCACAGTTCTCTTCAGTTACATGAAAAAAAAAGTCATACTGGAGAAAAACCCTATGAATGTAAACAGTGTGGTAAAGACTTCAGATGTCACCGAGATGTTCAAAGACATGTGAAGTCATACTAGACAAAACCCCATGTATAGGAACAGTGTGGAAAAGCATTTAGAAGTCACAGTCACCTTTACATGAAAGAATTCATATTTCAGCAAACCTAGGAATGCAAACAAGGTGGTAAGCCTTCAGATGTAACAGTTATCTTCCTTTATGTGAAAATTCTTGTTAGACCAAAACCCAATGAGTGAAAGCAATGTAAATCTCACCTATGATACATTTATCTTAAGTTACATGAAAAAATACTGGGGAAAAACCCTGTCAATGCAAAGAATGTGGGAATCTACATTTCATAGTTCCTTACAATTAAAAAAGGAAATTGTGAGAACCCTGTGAATGTGAACAATGCCTGTAGTTGTTTAACTTCCTAAATTACATGGTAGAGCAGTCTCACCCCACAGTGTTCTTTCCATGACAAAAACTCATTGGAGAAAATTCCTAGAAATGTAAAATCCAAGTGTTAATGTTTTATAAGCATTCACTTCCATTATAAGAACTCACGCTCAAACCTCTAAGAATATAAAGAACAGGGGCAAGGATTAAGCTGCCACAGTTCCCAACAGCAACAGTGTTGTGTGAGCTTTTCCTTGGGAGACCTGAGCAAATGTCTCCTCACCTGAGATTGGACTTTCTACCAAAGTCTAATTAAGTGAACCAAAGATTTTACTGGGGTTACTTCTAGGAGCATGGACAACCACAGCTACATCATCAAAAAGTCAATCCAGCCTAAATGATGACTCTAGATGCTACAGTGCTGGTGATTTCTACACAAATGGCAGGCAGCTTGGTTGGTGATTAAAAAAAATATTTTTATTTTATGTGTATGTGTGTATTGCCTGCATGTATGTGAGTGCACCTGTGTCATGCAGTGCTGCATAGGTCAGAAGAGGGCTTCAGATTCCCCTGGAACTGGACTTAAGGATGGCTCATAGCCTCCATGCGGGTGCTGGGAATCGAACCCGGTTCCTCTGCAAGAGCAGTTTGTGCTCTTAACCACTGAGCCATCTCTCCAGCCCCCCCCTTTTTTTCCCCATAATTGTTTACCGTTTCTATAACCTTGTGGAGTGGCCTTGGGAGTCTTGTAAATTTGAGCTTTCTAGGGCTTATTTATTTCTACAGTCTCTTGCCCCCACCCCCCCCTTTGAGAGGGACTCTGTCAGTTCTGAGGAAATTGCTCCACCACAGCCCTTCCCTTCCTCTGGCTCTTACATTTTTTGGTAATACTTTTAGAGCCTTGGGGACAGGGAGTGTGAATATAAATATCCATCCATGGCTAACATTGGGCCACTATACCAGAGCAATACGGACTTTTTCTCAGGATCCTCATCATTGGTTTTGAGTCTGTGGTATACCAGTCATTGTGAAAGGAAATTTTGCATGATGGATTTGGCTTACAGTAGCAGTGATCTATTAGCCATGAGCTGAAATGTTGAGAAGGCAATTTGAGAGGCACATGACAACCACCTAACAAAACAATAGCAATTGCTTCCCTACTGGGTCCTGTGACCACTCCAGCCACACGTTTTGTTCCTGTCTTATAATATCAGACACGAATTTTCTCCTATGGATTGGGCTGTAAATCCAATCTAAAAGCTGCTTTTTGGACTCAAACAGTAGTGCCGCTGTTGTAACACGAGGCATGTTCTCCCTGCCCTGCTGGTACTAGAATAGATAGGGTTTATAGCTGAGCAGGACTGCTAGCGACAATTCTTCCCCAGCAATCTACATTGCACCTGGCATCATGCAAGCCAGCCAGTATGGAGGAAACTTCCACCTCATTCCAGCATCATTTCTGCATGTTCTGCAACCTGAGCATGCGATGCTGTCAGCAGTAGGGTCTTATCATCTAGTTTCAGCATGTAACCAACAATAGTGACAATAGCCTTCATGCTTTGTGGGACAGATATTCGCCTGCCTCTACCTCCTATGTTCTGGTGTTAAAGGCCTGTGTCAACACCCCTTGCTACTAACTCACTTAAAAAAAATTAACCTAGCCCCAATATTTTTGTGAGGTAGGGGGATGTATGGTTGCACCTTATTGCCTTTAGTTGAGGTCTATGCACCTGTGTGTGTGAAATGAGCAGCCCTGTCATGGTCAATTACATAACATTGAGTTGGGGGAAAGCCTTGGTGGCTTTGTCTGTTCCTCCCTTGCCTGGAAATGCTAGAAAGAGGCTTGTGGCAGTGTCCACACTTGTGAGGGTGTAGTTGCACCTGTCACTGATAGACCTAGGTACTATATGGTGTTTTTGCGAGTACATAAGAGATGAATTGGCTTGTGTATGTGTGCTGTCATAACATCTAGATGCAGTTTTGATTGTGACAGGAAAAACGTGATTGACACCTAAAGAAAGATGTCTGAGGAAAAAGTAGTTTCCTGCCTTCATGTGTTTTCTTTCTGCTGAGTGTGCCTACTCCTGTGGCTGCTGCTGTTACTGCTACAATCCTCCAATTACAGAATTCAGCTCCATTGGCCTTACAACGCGGACTAAAGAGGAGCTTCCAGGAATTTTTTTCAGTTCTCTGCCAGAATGGCATTTCTGAGACACCCAGCTGTGTGGACTGTGCAGTTTTTGGATTGTCCATCACTTAATTCAGCTTGTAGGCATTGGTGGAGTATAGCACTGTAAACTGTAAACTTTTTTTTTTTCCTGTTTTTGAGACAGGGTAACAGGGTTTCCCTGTAGCCCTAGCTGCCTGAGCTTGCTGTGTAGACCAGGCTGGCCTTGAATTCACAGGCTCTGCCTGCCTCTGCCTCCTGAGTGCTGGCATTAAAGGTCTGCACAACCACTCCCTGCTTAGCACTGTGGATTTTCATGACACATAAACGTCTGTTGCTTCTGTTCTTCTCCAACATTTTTTGTTCCATACTTTCTGGTAAAAAGTATGGGTTGTAGAGAAAAAGAATTGATGGATGGTGATCTTCCACTGGCTGAATTCTTCTGTAGGATACACAATTCTCTGTATTTGATCTGATGCACCACACATACGTGCATTCCTGCACCCAAGAAATAAATGTCTTTTAACAAAAACAATTCATACATGTCTTGTTCTTTTCTTTTTCTTTCTTTTTTGGAGACAGGGTCTCCCTGTAGCCCCAGCAGACTTGGAACTCCACATGTAGACCAGGCTTGCCTCGAACTCACAGAGATTCACCTGCTTCTGCCTCCCAAATACTTGGATTGGAGGCATGTGCCACCAGGCAGGGCTCTAAGTGTCTGTTTAAAAGGAACTTAAATTTCAAAGAAACCAGTTTGTCTTGTGAAAATAAGAATATCTTCAGGACACTTAACATGTTTTGCTTGTGTTCACATACACATTTTATAATTTTTTTCCTGTGTTTTGCCTGCATGGATATCAGAAGAGCATGTTTGATCCCCTGGAACTGGATGATGAAAGAGAAAACACTACTGCTTTTTAAATTAGATTGGATTTTGTATGGAGTGTTGTCCCAATATATGGATTGTACCAAAATGGAAACACGAAAAACTGATGACAGAACCAGACAGCTTCAGACTGTTACTGCAGGTTGTGGATGTTACAAAGAGGTTTATAATAGATGGAAGATTATGGTATGTAAAGGATTCTATTTCTCCTAGGAAATGGAGACTATTACTAGGTACTTATTTCGCCTTCGCGTACTCTAGGCACCACTTTTAAATTTGTGTCTTTGAGCTTTTGGCAAAATAAGACAGGCCAAAATGCCTAGCAAATATAAGAACAAGTCCAGTTGGTAACTTGAACCTTCAAAATTATTTTCCTTGACTGATCAGTATCTGCTAGGTCACAGAAGATGAAGAGAAAATTCAAGAGGAAGAGTGATTACCATAGGTGGAAAAGAACTACTTTCAATGGAATTCTAAAAGAAAAATAGGCTCCCCAACACCCTACGCCCTGAAAATAAGTGAAGCCACTGGTGAAGGACACTGCCATTCCTTCATGTGAGGATGGGCCTTCCACTCAAGTGATGGCTGAGCTTGAAGGATAATGTTGCACAAGATTTTGTGAGATCCTCATTCAAACTGTTACAGGTGACCACCAAAGCATCTCATTAACTCTTGACATTATAGCAAAAGTGATTGATTTTATGTCCATATTGAGGTTCTGTTCTGTCTTAATAATTAGTTAGTTACTTCCCTAATCAGATGTTGTAGCATACACTGTTGGGGAAACTGAAGACTCTGAACTGGTATTTTCAGCCTTAGTCCCCCAAATTCCAGAATTAGTAAAAACCTTTTCCCTTATATGTAATAAAAAGATAAGATCTGGCACTGAGAGGACTCCCCTAAATGTTCCAGCTAGACTTTATAACTGAATAGCCAGGATGTGTCCTAGCTTCAATACCTCACAGACGTTTATGAGGCTACAGTCATGGCTCTGAAACCTGTTTCTGAGGATTAAATGAAAGTCTGTCTTAAGGAAAATCAGAGAAGAAATGGACCACACACAAAATATTAAAACTAAGACATTGAATATGATCCTGTTGACTACTCCAATGACCTGTGTCCTTAAAAAAAAAAAACCCTAACAGCTATTAGTCTACAAAAAAATGCGGTAGATAAACATAAGTAATTGTACGAAGGACAGATTACAATAAAGGATAAGAAAATTTTACTAAAATTCCTCCTAAGTAATATAAATACTTCTGACATTGACTTGCATGACTTTTGGGTCAACATAGCACGTAACCTTGTCTAAAACTACTCAGTGTTACTCAGTAGAGTAAAATCTGCCCTTTCTGGGCATTTACAGTGTCAAGGACATCCTAAAAACATTTGGGCTGAAGAAATGGCTCAATAGGTAAATGGCTCATGTTATGTATTTGAAAACTTAAGAGTGTGACTCTACATGAAGTCAGACAAGGCAGTGCACACACCCATCTCAACATGCCTATGATGCTGTAGGGGGCAGAAGCAGAATACCTAGATGCCCATAGGCCATATAGCCTGTTCTACACAGCTCAGAAATACAGAGATCCTGGTTTAAACAAGGTAGATGGTGAGGAATGACACCTGAAGTTTTCCTCTGACCAACAAGAACCTTGACACATTCATGCCACACTCACAGATATGAATGAGTGCATGCACACAAAATACGTGGTTACTTACATTGACTTTCAACTACAAATGTTTTATTGGTCAAATGTTACTAAGTACTGCATGCTAAAATTTCTCCTATTTGACTGATAGCTATAGAATTCTCTTCCAGGAGTGTTCTTCATGTACATGTACTGGATGTTTGCTAAGGTTGTGGGTCAGGTAACTGTGATGTCAGAAATTTTCACTTTGGATTTACTCTTCATTGTGAAAATTACAGAAGATATATTTGCCATAAGAAGTGACATTCAAAATGTGTGTAAGCTTACTGTATATGTAATATATGGTTATGGGATTAATCTTGCCCCAAACTAACTCTAAATAAAAAACTCCCTTGTATTGGCTTCATCTAGGCACATCACAAGCACCTTATCTCTTTAGATACTCTGGGCAGAGATCATACATTGGAACTGGTAGGATTCTAAAGTTTGCTAGGTCATACAGTTCTGAGGTCAGACACTCCAACTTTCACTGCAGAGCTTCATCTGTATAAGTCATTCCAAATTAAGTGGTATTTCCCAACCAAGTGCTAGAGATGCTTGGCTACCCATGTTGTGATGGCTAATCCTGGTGTCAACTTGACTGGATCTGGGATTAATTGAAATGAGAGAGACCTTCTTGATTGGATCATCTGAAGCTGGAAGACACACCCTAAACGTGGCTGTTATCTTTTGATGGCAGCCTGTATAAAAGGCCGTAGCAGAAGAGATCACTTGCTTTTTGCTGCTTGTCTTCTCTCTCGCTGGCGAATTGTCTTGCTGCTGTAGATTGAAGACTAGCCGATCTTTTGGGATTCATCAGA